TTTGCTAAATATTTCGTATGAGATTTCAGAAAGGTGATTTTTTGCAGCCGCAATTACATCTTGTAGGGAGTTGTAATTTATTCAGAATGATGTGCAGTGACGCGATGAGGTCTGCGATGAGATAATTATAAATTGTAAATTGAAAAATGGAAGTGACAACTTCCTTGTTTTAAATATATTTGTCGGTTTCGTATTTTAGTTTCAAATGTCAGATTGAATCGAAGCAGTACCTTATCTGGGGAAAATTATTCAAAGTTCATTATCTGCCTGTAAACCAGGGTATAGCAATACCTAGCTGAACAATGCCGAGTGCTTGCTTTCATGATGCCGCATACGGAAGGCACACCTAATGTCACTCTTATTCCGAGCGAAATGGGTACCCGACAGGAGGCCCGTCGCGCGGCAACAAGGCAGAGTCAGCGGACGAGTCGCAGCGCGTACTGTAGTGATTTCGCGTCAAGTTAAATAGAATGTACCATTGTACGTCCTACATCGCACATCACGCGCTGCGACTCGTCCGCTGACTCTGCCTTCTTGCCGCGCGACGGGCCTCCTGTCGGGTACCCGAGCGAAACTGATCTCATACCCGCCATTTTCCCTCAAAAACATGGCTCCTATCAAAGGATTCATTTTACTCATTCCAATCGCCTGAGCGTTGACGCAGAGTTCATGACTCTTGCAACGTTGATGCTCTGGTGGCCTTGGTCTGGTGCACTAAAGGCGATTCACGATGCATTTGCGATGTAAGTTTATGGATAAAAGCGGTCAAGACCTAATAACTCAAATTAAGTAGGTAATAAGTTAAATATAGGTTATGCCCAACCTGAAATGTCCCATTGCGTAAAACATTGGCTGCTTGTAAAACTCATCTGATGTCGCGTTCACAATGACTGGTGAATCGACAAAATTGTCAACCCAGTTTGGACCGCCTCGCTCATTGAGGCACATGTTCCAGTCAGTCCAGCCAGTGACGAAATTGTTCAAATCCTATAATGAGCATGATTTTACCATTGCATATGTTTAATGGAAAGTCTTATGCTAATTTGGAATTTTTTACAACCACAGCAGACTAGAGTAAAAGGTAAAGTCTCGAAAAACCAGCTAGTAAATGTCAAGAGAAAGGTAAGGACATCCTCAGCTGGTGACGCAGCGATCTCAGTATATGCCCCATCGTTTTTGTGCTTAACACATTGACGACAACGCGAGTTTTGGCTTTTTTGGCCACGTGGGACCGCGGCGATTTTGCGGGCGCGCTCGCCTCAGGTCGTTCAAGCAGATTTTGAGTGATAAATACACAATAATGATCAATTCAAAACCAAATCAGTAAATTGTAATGAGCACAACCTACCCAGGGGTACAGTAGTGGAATTTCGATCGAAAGACATGGAATAACAATGAAAAAGCGAAATTTTTCAGAACTAGCTGCAATGGACCTCAAAAGCAATTTTACGTTGATTATTCCAATCAAAACACACATGTTGTCATCCCTAAGGTTCCTTATCTACTTCTACTACTATTTAAATCTTCATAAATCTTCAATAAAAAGAAGAAAGTAAACGAAAAATTTATTGAAATGAAGATTTCGTATGGTTAGAAATCCTCCTCTAAAATTAAAGTATACGTGACCATTCTAAGGGCCACTATGTTTGTAGCTACGTCAAGGTCTCTTCCATGGAATGAATACAAGAAACTTCTAAAAGAATCAGGCGTGCGCGAAAAAAATGAGTGTAATGGGTGCGGGGGATATATATCCCGCACGGTCCGACATGGCCTGCAATGCGCGGGATATATATCCCCCGCGTTGTCGTCAATGTGTTAAAAGCGATAGGGCAGAGATGGGGGAAGGTTTTCTACGGTACGTTGCTTTCATAGGCTGACACCGTCTTCATGTTATTTTAACCTTTTATCCATACCGCTAGGAATTGCTACGAACAAATAAGAATTGAACAAGTTCCTCTTCTTTCTCCTTCCTTACACCGGCCACTATACACCCTTTCCTGCATCGTAACATTTCTTGATGGAAATCGACCCCAAAAATAAACGACGACTCCCATGCCCTGTCAATCATGAGCTATGTTTTACAAACCATATCTGTGCACATATATAAATATAATACATTTATAGACTCTACTAATTTGACATTCGATTCTCAACAATAAAAGAAGTTTAAGAATTACCTCTATAATGCTAACGGCATATTCTTCTGCACGGTACAGTCTCCGAGAATCGGGCCATTGACCGATGATGCACAGCACAAGCCTTCAACATATTAGTATCTTGACGACAACAAGACCCGTATGTGCAGCACATTGCGCATCACCTGGAACCCTCATATTGCTGTAAACCCATACGATTGACTTGTCTTTGCCCATGCACGACTTTTTTGAAAATTTCCCCTATCGTCGGTTGTCGGTTTTTAAGCCTTCAAAACCTCTTTTCGGTTTCGAAGTCTGCAATTACACTCTTTGTTTCACGTTCATTTTCATGAAGATATAAGTGAAAAGTGTAATTACAGCTAGAAATGATCAAAACGAGAAACAAAATGCTTCTGAAGCCCATTGCAGTAGGAGGTTTTGCTTGCTCCGTTCCTTCTCACGAGTCCATTTAGTCAAAACATAACTATTTTACCCCCAAATAACTTCTGCGCATTGAACTTTGCCGAAATGGCTCGGTACCATTCATTTTTGTGCATTCATAACTCAAATCAATAAGTGAGGTAAGGCGGCAGCTTTTGTGAAATCGTGTCGAACTTAAAGGCACAACCATGAGTGAGGTCGAGTGTGACAATCAATTCTGGACGTAAGCAAACCAGCCCTTTTGGCGCTTCGGCTGGGACCGTATGCTGAATGTTGGGGAGGGATGGAGTCCCCGACGGTGGACGGACCACTTCAACTCGGTCCTTAGAACCGCCACAATTTGGTGCTTACCTCAGAACTAAGCCTTAAAGAGAGGACGGGTCCGTCCCCTCTCCAAGGCTTAGTCCTGGGGTGAGCAAACCAGCCCTTCTGGCGGAGCTGCTGGACCAGCTGCACCACTTGCGTCAGTACTCTCCTATCGTACCAACCGAGTTGAAGTAACCGATCGTTGCTACCCCACCAATTTGATGTGGCATCGTTACTTTCAGAGGCCAAACAAGCGGAAAGGCGCCAACGTCAAACTAAAAAAGATAAATGTTAGTCACTGTTGACAAAATTACTAAACAATACCTCAGTGGCGAGTAGAAACTTTCCTGGATGTCTGTTATGGGTAGTTGTCAGTACCGAGACCGGGATGAGACCATCAAGATACCAGTGCACGCCAATGCCATCCACATATTTGGATGCTTCGTCATCGTTGAAGATCTAGAAGCACACGGAGGACTGACTAGAACTACTTGCCTAAGATTCTTCTACTTGTCACTTCTCGGACTCTTATCGCGGATGACGAGATCGCCCTCTTTCGTTAGTTGGGG